GTGGTTCTTCTGGAGTCAGTGCTTTTCTAACTCCTCAAATGCAACGTACTCGGTTTTACCCCATTTGTTGGCTTTTCGTATACTTACTGGTATGAAAACCACTACGGGAAGGCTGTGACTAGGGTTTCCTCAGACGATGCTCTTTGAAACAGTAGATCGAGTGGGGGTGTTTTACGAGGTGCATGGCGAGAATAATCACCCGCAACCCAACACGCACCGTGACCTTTCTGCAAATGCCAAAAAACGTCTGTCAATTACCTTGGTGATTAAGTGCGTAAAGGCTGCAGATTCCGGCGTAGTTTAGTTGACTTGGTTTTGTATCGCATTTGTTACTAAAGCGTATGTTATGTCTGATCCGGAGATTCCTTCGTAAGCAGATTAAGTTAATTTATACTGTTACTACTGCTTATTCACCCGCATGAGAATGAAGTGATTCTCTTCTGCCTTTGCTCCTGGTTCCGTACTTTCACCCATTCTTTGCTTTCATTAGCATCCGTCGGCCTTTCTTCCCCGTGTGCCATCTGACTCCTTTCGCTGCAGCATTGAAATTATTGTGATCTCTCAATTGTAACTTGGACCACATCTCGTGGCTGCAAACTGTCCACATTATCTCCAAGACTTCTGATATTGTTCCAGGGGCCGTCTCTCATCCCTTAACACGGAGTTATAACGCAAAAATTACGTTTGATCGTTCCTCGTGAACGTGCGGTTTGTGACCTACAACTCTTAACTCTAACGAATTACTGTCGGATATTGGCTACTGCTCTTACGTGTTTCCTTCGCTATTAGTTGTTTGAAGTGAGACTGATTCCGACTAGTGGTAGCTGTATAATGTGTTGTCCCACCTCGGATGAATGTACACAGATAACTAGAATGTAAAACCACTGAGCAGCGTTGCTGTGGTCAACTCCTCGAGACAATGGTGACATCAATAAATTAGCTCAATCGGTGTCTCTCATAGTCATAATTCAATTCAACCTGTGGTGTTTAGCCCCCGGATGTTTCCGTTACCGGTGTTTTCACGAGCTGTTTAGGCTCTCTCGTGATAATTCTGTTAGGTGCAGATCCAGTGAGACTGTCAGAACTTGTTAAGCACAATGACCATAGTTTCAGCTGCACTGGTGTATGGGCGGGGAATCAAATTTATGTTCTTTTTCCAATATTTGGGTCGCATCATGGGACGATTTCGGCTAGGTTAAGTTTTACTGAAGCACCTCTCTCACATGATTTCCACGATGCTTCGGGCATCAAT